CCGGAACAGGTGAGTCTTGACGGGACCATCCGCAAGACCCTGCATGAACACCGAAACCAACGTGTGTTCATCCACTGGATTGGAACTTATACAACTCGTGAGATGTCGTATATGTTGAGCGTAAGCGTGCACATCACGCTTACCCTGCTTGAGCTTCAAGAGTTCAGTTCGAGCCCTGAACTCAGCTCTAGGCGGTTCAAACGTTTGTCTGAGCCGCGATTTGAAGACTTCCAACGACCCAAACGCATATGGGTCGTGCAGCTTGAGCCCCAGTGCCCAAGTCTTGGCACGTCCTGCCAGATTTGACTGGGCAAATGCAACTTGCATATCCCCGTCGTCGATGCGACGCGCCCTTATGGCGTCATCCAATTCGACGAAACATCTCAAGAGGGAGTCTTCTTCGACCCCCCTACACTTAAAGATGTCAATCTTCAAGGTTTCGGGTCGACGCGAGTGCATCGACCCGCCAGCAGCAGCCTGCTGCTGTCTCAACAGTTCAAACTGTTGAGCACCTTGTTCTCTCAACAACTCTGCTTGTTGAGAACCTTGTTGGTGAAGCAAGGCTACTTTCTCGCGTTCTGCGTCAAGTTCATTTTAAATGAACTTGGCGATAGTAGCATGTTGGGCATCTCTATTGAGAGCCTCTAGCATGACGCTAACAGCATGGATGCCCATGGTCGAACCCATTCGTTCAACCGCATCCCATTCGACATCGCTCAAATGGGAGTAGCCGTCACGCGTAGCGTGAAAGCTTTGGTCATCTTCATCATCCAACATATTCATGTTGGATGTGAACGCGGTCCTTGGACGGACTACAAAGTGCTACCAGGTGTAACGGGGCACCCTGAAGCTTGTACTGGTGACAACACAAGCTACTTATTCTGATGACAGAATTAGGCGGTGCCTCGTAACTTCACGTACACTCGTACGTGCAGAGGAAGACGGTAAGAAGAAGCGAGTACTTGGTTAGAGTAAAAAGTAGAACTGTATTTATAATAGTTAATGTCTGCAATAAATCACTATTTATCTTCATCTAACTATGTCTAAATACAAATGTGTAAATCAGTTATCTGCTCACCACTCATTGCGTGCGTCTGTCGTGGCGCGTCTTCGTTGGTTGATATAATGGCCTATATCAACCAATTAGGAACTACTTGTAAGTGCAACAGAATATTCGTCCTTATGACAATATTCTGAGTACAGCTCTTATAGTTATATTCTATTAACAATTTCTAATAAATTGTTATGTAACGATTCACCCCGTTACATCACCCCCCCCTTAACCATCAGTCACTTTAGTGACTGATTGACTAAATGGATACTCGTCCCAAATCATTTGGGACAGGGTTTGCACTTGTTGGTCCGAGTCCACTTTTCAACAATTCATCCCATGGTAAACAAGCCCATGCGATGCGCGAGCAAGGCCGCCGAGAGCGCGTCCGCACGTCTCTGTGCGGACGCCGAAGCAGAAACCACAGCAAATGATGTCTCATCGGTTGCTGAAGCGACTCAGCCTGTGTCACTTGGTGATGCAGGCGCTGGTCATGAAGACACTCATGTCTTCACAGAGTACGAGCTCGGTGTCTCGTACTCTCCTGATACGGATGACGGATCCGTATCGAAGGCAATTGAATCCAAGCCGCCTGCTAAGCGTGGCATGGACGATGCTTTGCGTCGCAGCATCTTTGGTTCATCTGACGAATCAGATGAACCATCGCCGAAGCGAAGGCGCTCGAGGTCGCGAGACTCGGGCGCTAATAGTGGTGTCGGTTCTCCAATGGACACCACTTCACAGCGAGGTGCCAGTACTTCTGTCGGCACGTCGCAGGAAGAGCGGGACCGCAATGTGTTGCGTCTCGCTCCAGAAAAGAAGGCATGGATGCCTCCTAAATCCGTCATGGATCACTTGTCGGCGATGACGAGTGATCGTTATCGAACACGATTGTTCGATTCGTCAAGGATCCATCACCTTGACCCCAGCGCGAAAGACTATCGCGCTGAACACGAATTCTTCATCGATGCTTTCTTCAGACATCGATGGTACAGTGGTAATCACAAACGTGATGGTCCCTCACTACTTCAGGCGTGGAACGCCTACATCCATAACCTCGAGGATGTAGGTCGTGACGCTTGGAACGACAAACTTATCAAAGCTCGTGATAAGTTTGAAAAGCGAACCCCGACAGGTGCACGCTACAAGCTGCATCGTCTGTCAAGGGAGAAAGGATTACCCTGCCTCTCTTGAGGAGACCCGTGCCCATGTTGTGTGAACAACTCTGCACGAGCACCTAAGGAGGCTTACCTCCTTACCAGCCCGTGGTGGCGCGTACGTGTCTCTAGTGAGATGTACGAAGGGATTGACAACCTGAAATCCCTTTACGACCGTGCCGGGAAGACTTTCTCCGGCGGTCCTTCTGCGGCACAGGATGTGCCGCGTCGTACTGCTCAACCAGACCCAGTACGTCAACCATCAATTGGGAGCGGGGCTCCCAAGAATCCCAGGACGGGGGGATAGCCGCGCCACCGGACGAGATAATCGTCCGACGTCCGTTCACGTCGCGGTGGTTCAACAGCTGCTCAACTAGATAGCGCTGGCCACCGCGAGAGTCCTCTAATGGAGGTGGAGGAGGAGGAAAGACGCTCTCCACACGATCATGGGGATCCGTGTGTCCCCGAGAGCTTCTTTGATCGCGTAACGCAAGGGTTACGCGACGATCTCGAGCATGAGCGTGACAGGCGTCTCCAACTGGCGGACACTGTCTCGACGCCTCGAGTTGAGTATGCTTTTGCTCAGCTTGAGAACGAGAGATCTCTGACATCTCTTCGTGACGAGCTAAGGGTAGCTCGTGGGATGGCTGATCGGTCTCGGGATGAGATAGCTGCTCTTCAGACCCTTGTTGATGCCCACCATCGGGAGCACAAGGCTCTCTGCGAGATGCTTGAGCGCAAGGGCGTTCTTCATCGGAAGAAGCAGCGTACTGATGGTACGGCTTAAGCCGACCAACGTAAAACGTGGGATGCGTTCGCATCTTACGTGGTAACTCGATCGTGTATGCATTGCCTAGGCGGTGCAATACACGAAATGGGCCAATGTACTTGGGTAGTAGTTTACTGCTACCCAAGTTAGTCACTACATGCTTTGGTAGATTAACCGTAGACAGTAGGACTAAGTCACCTTTGTTAAATAAAAGAGTGTTTGCCCTTCCATTCTTGTCAGCGTTTTGCTTTTGCTTATCCACCGCTTCGGCGATGGAATCTTGCACAAAACGGTCTACCGTTTCACGAGCCAGTATGAACTCATCTGATGACTCGTTAGCTTCAGTGTGCTGTGAGCGCACTGCAGCAACAACAACCTTTTCTTCAGTGAGGGCTTCCGCACTCTCACTGGGATCATTGTCTTCAGTGAGGGCTTCCGCACTCTCACTGGCATCATCTTCTTCGATATCGATGTTATCGATATCGGCATCAAACGCAATGACTTCTTCGTCAGAGCGTGATGAGCGTGAACCAAATCGGTTTTTGCTCGCGCGAGTCCCTCCCCCCCTTAAACCAGAGTGACACTCTAGTAAGGTGGGTACACGCGGATGGCGCAAGCCATTCACGTAAAACGGTGTATGTGTCGCGGACGCATGCACCGAGTTGTTGATGGCAAACTCTACCATTGGCAAAAACTCACTCCAACTCTTAAAGGAGTGTACGTATCCTCGAAGTATCTCTTCAAGGACACGATTGGCCCGTTCCGTCTGACCATCTGACTCTGGATGATCAGATGTTGACATCTTTAAGCGCGTTCCGAGTGATTTGAACACGGAACGCCAGAAATCAGCAGTGAATCGTGGATCTCTGTCTGATACGAGTTCACGGGGCAACCCATGAAGTCGGAAGATGGTGTCAATAAAGACACAAGCACAGCCACTTGCCGTGATTGTCTCTGGTACAGCCACAAGGTGTACCATTTTGCTGAATCTGTCAACAAATACGAGAATACCCGTATTCCCGCGTGCGTCTTTGGGTAACCCGAAGACGAAATCCATTGAGATGGATTCCCAGCCCTCAGCCGGAACCGGTAGAGGCTGTAAAGGTGCACGCAGTGAAGGACTTGACTTCACTCGTTGGCAGACTTCGCATGCGCGAACATACTTTCGCACAAACTGATACTGGCGGGGCCAGTAAAAGTCTCGACTTACCGTGAGATATGTTTTCTCTCGGCCACGATGTCCTCCTATAGGAGCATCGTGATACTCGAACATGATCCGCAAACGCAGATCAGTATCATCTGGAATGACAACACGTGGTGTGTCACCAGAAACGGCTGTATAATACAGTAAACCGTTACAAGTAGTGTATCGATCTGATGCAGATCGATACGCAGGCGACAATCGTTTCAACGATTCTCGGGATGGTTGGGAGAGATGTGACAACAACTTCACTATATCACCATCTTGGGCGTATGCCCGCCTCACATCATCATACAACGTTGTAGATGGAACTGAGGACGTCATAACCGCAACAGTGACTGTCTCACTGTTGGGTTTCGCGACTGTTTCAAAGTCGGGACGACGTGAGAGTGCATCAGCGACGACATTAAGTCGTCCTGGTTTGTACTCGACCGTAAAGTTGTATTCTGCAAAGAATGACAACCACCGCGCCATTCGTTGTGAAAGGTGCGGGCTGTTCACTGCCGTGCGTAATGACGCATGGTCAGTGTAAACAACGAAGGGTCTATCTCCTAAGAGATAGACTCTGAACTTCGCGAGTGCATATTCATGGCAAGGAGTTCCTTGTCATGCACTGGATAGTTCCGCTCAGCTGGTTGCAGCTGACGCGACTGATAGCAGACGACGCGTTCAACGCCTTCAAGATCGTACTGCATTAATGCACAGCCGATTGCGAAATCGCTGGCATCACAGACCACATGAAATGGCCTGTCCTGATCGGCTATTGATAGGACTGGGGATTGTATCAAGCTCTGCTTGATACCCTCAAAGGAGCGTTGACATTCAGCGTTCCATAACCACCTCGTTCTTTTTCAACAAACGAGAGAGGTGCACAGTCATCTCGGCGTAATTGCGTGAATACTTATGCAAATACGCCGCTAGCTCAAGGAATTTTCGAAGACCTTTGACATCGACCGGCACAGGCCAGTCGGTGATCGCCTTGATCTTTTCGGGATCAGGACGTACACCGTTCTTACCAACGATGCACCCAAGAAGTGGTATTTCGCTTGCTGCAAATATACACTTCTTGAGGTTAGCATACAATTGATGCTTTCGCATGATTGTAAGAACTTGTCGGACGTGGTACCTGTGAACCTCAACGTCCGACTTTCCATCCATAGCTCGACTATGGATGAATACTTCATCGAAATAACTCGGCGCGAATTCTCGTACTGGCCTCAACAGATGTGATACACATCTGTTGAACGTGGCAGGGGCATTACTGAGCCCTTGTGGCATTACTAGCCATTCCCAGAGCATGCCGCTAGGCGTGCTAACTGCGGTATAGGGTATATCCCGTTCCCGCATAAGGATTTGATAGAAGCCATCCATCAAATCCATGGACGAAAAGATGGTACTCTTTGACATACCATCAATGATTACGTCCTTCCTCGGCATCGGCGTCTGAGCCGGTACCGTTGCAGCGTTCAATTTGTTGAACGCGTGCACTATCCGCCACCCTCCTGTTGCTTTTCGCACACAGAAGGTCGGAGAGCTATGTGGGGAAGTTGATTTCCTCACATGGCCCGCTGCTAAACGATCGGCAAAGAACTTGTCGATCGCAAGTACTTGTTCACGAGGCAGTGGCCACTGCTTCATGACACAGTACTTCGAGCCTGGTTTAAGCTCGACTTCGTGTCGAATACCTTTATCCTTCGGTAATTCACACGGAACAATTTCAGGGAATACATCCTTGAATTCAACCAAATCTTCATAGAGAGGATTCTCCTTGAGCGATTCCCATGATTGGGAGTCATATCGCTCAATTCGTGTCTTTTCATCTAGGACACTCTCGTCCATAGATGAACTACTGAGAACTCTCTCGCTCTCAGTAAACACTGTTGCTGACCTTATGTCGGTTACACACTCGTCGTCAGCAACGAGTATGCAGATCTGCTTGACTTTGCCACTACGCAGATCACGCAAGAACCTTTTATGTTCGAGCGTTGGCAACTGAGTGATCTCCGAAGTTAACTTCGGAGGCGCAATCAGATCAAGTGTATAAGCGCCTACACTTGATACGTTATTGACTATGACATTCAATGTCTCTGTCATTTCGTGGGGACTTATTCCCTCAGGCTTCGAAGGACTTATTCCTTCGTCTTCCCGGGGACTTATTCCCGCGGGTTTCGGGGAACTTATTTCCGCCGTATTTGTTATATCGGGACTTATTCCCTTAACTTCCTCTAGCTGTGGTTGCGCAACCACAGCGAGATCCTCTACGAAAGACTCTCCAGTCGATCTAGGATTATCGTTTCGCTTAACCTGAGCGATCGATTGTTTCTCTTCTAGATGTTCCCCTCTAGGGATACATCTTTGTCCCAGTCCACCCGACTTATTCGAGTGGTGGACCTTCGGCGCAGCCTGTGTTTCCTCACAGCCGCCGGAACTTTGCTCCGAAGTGTAACCGTTTGGTACACTAAGGTTTTGTGCAGTCGTACTAACGACCGTACCACAAGTGAGGCCATCACACTCACTCGTAGTACATCCACACGCTTGTGGACGCTCCAAAACGTTCATCAGATGGCCATCTGATGAACAAGCGGCAGGCATCGTTACTGTCCGATGTTGCCAGTTTACTCGTGGTTCGTACCTTCTGAGCCACGGTATTCCAAGGATGACATCAAATTTGTCATCCAAATCCAATACGATAAAGTCATCGTCATATTGGGTATCTTCTAGCGTATAGTGAATCTTCACTATACGCTTCATGACGGTTACGGATGCGCCTGTCGCAAGACGTACCGTCATCCTCGTAGGAGGTGTGTCACATTCACTGAATTTAAAGTGACCATCTTCTAGCGATTGGCGTCGCACAAAATTGTTGGACGCCCCACAATCGACTAGAGCTCGAAGGGACAACTTATTCGTCACTTCGAGTTTCAAGGTAATGAGTGAGATCTCATTACCTAGAGCAGCAACGCACAACGTCTGTGTGTTGGGAGCAACCTTCATCAAGAGGCCTACAAATTCTCTTGACGTTGCTGGATCAGTAGGGTGCTCCGCACCTACTGATCCTGTCCGTTTTTTGACGGTCCATCCCGTTGTTGCGTCTTTGCACCAACTGCGGACCCTCGTCCCTGCCCCTTTCTCATGGGTGGACGGTCACTACGCCCAGTGTCGCGAGACACTGGACGAGGGGCACTACACTCGTAAGCGTAGTGTCCTGTCTTCTGACATCTGTTGCATCTCTGCAACTTCTTGTAGCCTGTAGAGCGAACCTTCTCGCTCTCTACATAACAGAGTTCCATCGGCTCTGGGCCTCCGTTGTCATATCGTCTCGGTTGACGATATGATGTCGAGCTGGCGCGAGCCTGTCTCAGACTGAAGTCTTCCTGCTCCGCAATGGAAATGGCTTGTTCTAGTGAATCTAGTTCAAGCCGGAACAGGTGAGTCTTGACGGGACCATCCGCAAGACCCTGCATGAACACCGAAACCAACGTTTGTTCATCCACTGGATTGGAACTTATACAACTCGTGAGATGTCGTATATGTTGAGCGTAAGCGTGCACATCACGCTTACCCTGCTTGAGCTTCAAGATTTCAGTTCGAGCTCTGAACTTAGCTCTAGGCGGTTCAAACGTTTGTCTGAGCCGCGACTTGAAGACTTCCAACGACCCAAACGCATATGGGTCGTGCAGCTTGAGCCCCAGTGCCCAAGTCTTGGCACGTCCTGCCAGATTTGACTGGGCAAATGCAACTTGCATATCCCCGTCGTCGATGCGACGCGCCCTTATGGCGTCATCCAATTCGACGAACCATCTCAAGAGGGAGTCTTCTTCAACTCCCCTATACTTTGAGATGTCAATCTTCAAAGTCTCGGGTCGACGCGAGTGCATCGACCCGCCAGCATCAGCCTGCTGCTGTCTCAACAGTTCAAACTGTTGAGCACCTTGTTCTCTCAACAACTCTGCTTGTTGAGAACCTTGTTGGTGAAGCAAGGCTACTTTCTCGCGTTCTGCGTCAAGTTCATTTTAAATGAACTTGGCGATAGTAGCATGTTGGGCATCTCTATTGAGAGCCTCTAGCATGACGCTAACAGCATGGATGCCCATGGTCGAACCCATTCGTTCAACCGCATCCCATTCGACATCGCTCAAATGGGAGTAGCCGTCACGCGTAGCGTGAAAGCTTTGGTCATCTTCATCATCCAACACATTCATGTTGGATGTGAACGCGGTCCTTGGACGGACTACGAAGTGCTACCAGGTGTAACGGGGCACCCTGAAGCTTGTACTGGTGACAACACAAGCTACTTATTCTGATAACAGAATAAGGCGGTGCCTCGTAACTTCACGTACACTCGTACGTGCAGAGGAAGACGGTAAGAAGAAGCGAGTACTTGGTTAGAGTAAAAAGTAGAACTGTATTTATAATAGTTAATGTCTGCAATAAATCACTATTTATCTTCATCTAACTATGTCTAAATACAAATGTGTAAATCAGTTATCTGCTCACCACTCATTGCGTGCGTCTGTCGTGGCGCGTCTTCGTTGGTTGATATAATGGCCTATATCAACCAATTAGGAACTACTTGTAAGTGCTACATAATATTTGTCCTTATGACAATATTCTGAGATATAACTCTTATAGTTATATTCTATTAACAATTTCTTATAAATTGTTATGTAACGATTCACCCCGTTACAGTGTCAGTGCTGGGTGTAGCTGGTTCCGATGCAGCAAGGGCTCGGAGCGCCGGCTGGTAGTCAGTAGCTGAGGCGACGCTTGCTACAGTAACCAGCGCGGTGACGGCGAGAGCAGTGCACTTCATGGTCGATTTGGTCGGTTGGTCGAGTACTTGCTCGCTAGGTGCTGGTGTGGTAGTGCCAGTTGGTTTGTGAGTGCGATCGATGCACGAGATAGCGAGTGGGCTGGTGTTGCGACGAGTGACTCGTCACGTAGCGTCATGGTGACTGCTTCAATTGATTGAGTTGATTGATTGCAAATCGAGTAGATGGTTGAAAAGTCGGCGCGTCTCGATCGCGTTTCCAGTCACGAGCGTGGAATAGAACTTCGAGCGAGGTTTGAATTCCACTGTAGTTTTGTCGACATGATGGACGGTTGATGGTCGTCGAAGAAGGTCGCGGAGGGTGGTAGTCCGGTTCCGTCGCTCATGAATCGGTGGTACCTGCTAGAAGACAACCATAAGTAGAATGGTGAAGGTCCATAAGTAGAACGGTGGAGGCGTGTGTATCTCTGGCTGGTGATCAATGTTGGTGACCGACGTCGATGACTGCGTTGTGTCCGTCGACATCAACGTCGACGTGGTGACCAAACCAGGTGGCTGCTGAGTTGTGTGTGGACGTCGTCTATGTTTGGTGGCTTGACAATGAATGCAAGGAGGGCCCTTGCGATGACAGTATGTGCAAGTGGTACGAATACCAGTGCGTTTGTTTGAGATGGACATTGATACTTTTCGGCAATCGATGACATAGAAGGAGAAACTGGACGGAGCATGCTAATCGCGCTAAGAGAAAACGTGTCCGTCTGAACGAGTCGGCATGTTCGTGTCGTTGTGAACATGCAGATACAAAGACATTGGTCGTGACAAGATGATCTGATCTGAACGTGCTGCTGGAAGAACGTGCTGCTGGAAGAAGGTGTTGACCTTTGCGAGGTGGCTGGCTGACAACTGGCTGCAAAGCCTCGACAGTATATATATTGGCGAGCTCCAACTGCCCGACAGCACCGAAAGTACAGGTGGTCGATTCTTCCGTCGACAGGTTGACATGCTGAGCCAAGTGGTGACGAAAAGTAGCGACAAACAGCCTCACAAACAAGAGCGAGTCCGGCGGTGCACGCAGATTTTTCTTCTTGCTCGGCTTCCGTGTCGTCTCGTTCGTGAGCCCGTCTGCATGCGCTGCAGCATGTCAGTCGGCGCGATGTCCAGCATGTGTGAGGTCTACCATCCCCATCCGCCACCGTAGCCTCCCCATACACCGTAGCCACCCCATCCTCCGAAGCCACCCCAGGGACGTCCCCATCCCAAGCCTCCCCACCACTCCTTGGACTTGCATAGTAAAAAATCAGAGTAAACATCCCTGAATTCAACTAAATCCTTTTACAAAAAAGAATTTGTCTCCGAAGACTCCCAAGATTGAGGCGTGTATGTGTCGCTCAATCCGGTTCGTCTCATCGAGGACACTCTCGTCCAGCGACGAGCTACTGATAACCCGTTCGTTCTCAGCAAACACTTGTGCCGACCGAATATCGGCGACGTACTCGTTCTCTGTGACGAGTACGCAGATCTGCCTGATCTTGTCACTACGTAGATCTCGCAAGAATCTTTTAGATTCTAGCGTCGGAAACTTGACTACCTCCGAAGCTGACTTCGAGGGCGTAACCAGATCAAGTGCATAAGCACCTACACTTGATACGTCATTCACCAAGACATAAACTGACTCGGTGATTTCCCGGGAAAACACATCCGCAGGTGGTTGGGGATCCACACCATCAACATAACTCTCTCGGGAGTTATCAATCTCAGGAACGCTGAAACTTTCTTTCGTTACGTGTACTACCACGGTCACGTCCTCTTCGATCGACTCTCTTTCAGTCGATCGGGCTTGCTCTACGATCGATTCTCTGCTAGTCGATCTTGCTATGACGTGTTGTCCATCCTGAACAACACTTGTCTCTCTTCTCGGATGCACCCTTCTTGGTGTGCATCCGTGTTTCAGTCCACTCGATCTCTTCGAGTGGTGAACCTTCGGCGCAGCCTGTGTCTCTACACAGGTGCTAGAAGCTGGCTCCACAGTGCAGTGACCTTCTACACTGTGATTTACTGAATAGGTCTACGACCATGATGGCCGACGGAATAGAAGCCAATGATGCTTCCATCGAAGCAGATAACGTGGCTGGTGAGATCCCGGTCTTTGCGGTCAACAAAATGAAAAAGCCGAGCCATCCAGTAACGCGTCTAACGAGGTAATCAAGGCGACATAATTAGTGGTCGGCGAGGTGTCGTATATTGTGTAAGCACTGTGAATTTGTGGCAAACTAGTATTTAGCATCAATATCTAGCTTAAAAAAGGAGATCTTATGTTTCTTTCTCCACCATTCCATTTTTAACCTTATAAGGATTTTAGCAAATGATTAGAAAAGGTGACACGTCAATTTACACCATCAAATTTGCTCAGCAAAGCCGTTGCAAAATCGCATTTAATAGCACACTAGACAACCACCGGCGGTCGAGCAAAGTCGAAATACCATAAGATCGGTGTTGTGGATATCTTTGCTTTCAGCAGTATAGATGCAAGCTTTAATTTATTTCAGTGACTCTGACCAATATATCTCAACCTGTTAATGCTATTGGGTACCGATCGACATCGATCTTCGCTTGGGGGCACACAACTCAAACTTCTACGGCAATTAGGTACCTATTGACACAGGAATCCGGTTATAACACAGTTTGCGTTTATTTTCTTACGCCCTTCACGAATTGTGTCAATATCTAATGCAGATATAGTATATTTCGCCCCATTATTGCAGCTGATCTTTTGGAAATCTGCCTACTACGGCTAGTACAAACTGATGCGTATATCGCGAAATCTTAAATAATCGACTGTAGCCGTTAAAACTTTTCAAAAACAACTGCATCGATCTATGCGTCCGAAAAATTGGGGTGGTCACCAGCGATACAAATCATGGAGGCGATCGGGTCGCCCTTAATCCGACCACTGGCTCGGACAAAACGCCGGTCGTGACTTCCGAATGAGTGGAGCAGATCGGGTTGCCCGTTGTCGGCGTCAACGGACGGACGAAGCGTCGGTCACGCAGGTCGACTGAGGGAGACGACTGGGTATATCACCGACACGACCAAAGTGGTGGAGAAGCAGAAGGTCGTGGCGTTCGGCGAAGGAACGATGTCTAAATCTGGAGGGTTGACATCCAGTGTGGAGTCAACCGAACGGGCTATTCAGGGGTCAGTTCCGACCCAGGCGTAGACATGGGTAGAATGACATTCATCAGAAAAAGACTTCTTGACTGAGATCAAGCACACAGCTCTAGGAGAGAGGGGTGACGACGACATGCGCTTACTTGAACCCTTTTACGGCTGAATAAGTGCAAAGGGTGGCTGTGGTGAAGTGCGCTCGGATACGATAATGGACCCGGAGACTATTCGGATGAAAGTAATGGGGGATGCCTTTTAAGAAAGGAAGTCTGAAAGAAGAAACACAATGTCGTTCAGACCTTTGGGGAAGAGGACCTGCAGATTCATCAAAGAGAAGACCGTTGCTCAAGTACTGGTTTAGCAGTGCCGAAAGAAGATGGCTACAATTTCACATTGGTGAATCCAGTCCCCAAGAGTTATTTGCGTTATTTAAGAGTGACCGCGGTCTATGACCGATGGACCCTTTCCTTCATCTTTAGACCTGATCCATTATCGGTAGAATCGATCTTTGATCGGTAGACCTAGTCGCTTAATTGTAGAAATGGTATTTTAATATCCAGCTTATCGAAACCAGTCACATAAAGATTCAGAGCACAAAGGCAGGAAACAGGAAAGAAATTAAACGATAAAGTATGACGGTACTAATCACAACTCAGTTTGCGATCCACGTGGTACGACTTCGTCGGTCATAAGGAACTTGGTAAGTCTACCCGTTTGTTCCTAGTAATGGATATAGTTCGCCTTACCCCCCGTTCAATGCAGTTGCGAGGTAAGACATAAGCACTTATAGAGCTTAGAAAGTATCTGGCCGGTGCCTTTGTCAATAAGCAACAACCCGCTCAAGGACTGCTATCGGAGGCAACCTCCCTACCTTAATTTTATGGATTGAAGTAAAGGCCAGGAGGTTGACTTCTTTGAGACAAAAAGCAAATAACTAGGAGG